AGTTCATCCCGGCGTGACTGTCGGGATTTCACCGCTATATTAGCCGATATCGTCGTTTAATCGGGGGAACTTGGCGGAGCGGAGAACTCGGTTCTCGGGTGAAATTACGGCACGGCGAACCGACGCGAAACGTGAATGACGTTGGAGACGTGCGTCTCGCGGGTAACCCGCTCTCTCGCCCGCGCGCGGATCGGGCGCAACAATTTCGTCCTCGGCTAGATCGTAATTTGCGCGAGGCGGCGGGAAGACGAGGGGAGAAAAGGGTATCCCGCGGTGGGCCCGCCCCTGAGACGCAGTTCATTCACACGGTCGTGTCTCGCTAAATATAATATGGCGGTGACCCCCGGTTCCCCGTTGTCGATCCCCTCGCGCTCTTCTTCCCCATCCTCCGCTCTGTTTCTCTTTTTCTCTCCCCTCTCTCTCTCTCTTCTCTCTCTCTCTCTCTCTCTCTCTCTCTCTCTCTCTCTCTCTCTCTCTCTCTCTCTCTCTCTCTCTCCCCCTGTCCTCCTTCGATCCCGCGCTTTTTAACAGCCTCGATCGCGTAACAGCATTTATCGATGGCCACCGCGCGTCGGCTTAATTTTCTTACGTTCCGCCGTACGATTTCCTAATGTAACATTTCCAAGCGTGTTGCCGTTATTAATAAATGAAGATAAGCGAGGCCGAGTGGCCAAGTCGCAGTCGGTCACTCGCAGCGGCAGTAAAGTAATGCAATTCGCAGCTCGCACAAACGCGCGAAAATTCCCTTTCTGCGTATATCCAGACGGGGCTGCGAGATAATAATTTATTTTTCATATTCTTGCCCGACTAGTTTCGCATCTCGGGGTTCCTCGTCGCGGATCCTGGAGCATTTTTAGGCCTCGTCCACAACGGCGATTTATTCTCGATACGGTTCTCGTTGTGCTGCCAAAGCCAAAGTCGTTCTGCCAGCGACGCACACGCGTGTCGTCTTAATAACAACGCCCTTCGTTTTTCCTGGAAATAAAAGTGCACGAATATTCTCGTCTCGCCCACGCATTCGGCGCATCCTCGGAATTGTAACGCTCGTTGAATAACAAGCGTGAGAATATTTTTTCAACAAAAGAGATCCTAAACGTACGCGTGCACGAGTCATTTAGAATTTATAAGAGGCTAAGAGGATTTGATCCTAAATAAATCGTGTCCCCTCCTTTGACCAAACGTGATCTACAAGTGGTTGCTAAGGTAGAAAAAAAAGCCGCAAGTTTCGCAGCGATATTATCAATTTTCGAAGCCGATCGAGATGTAGAAACGACAATGAGCGATTTAATAAAATTCCGCGGCGGAATGTCGGCCGCGTAAAATTCCGCGCGCGTAAAGGGCCTCTTGGAAACGACGCCTTACATCCCTTAGGCCCGGAGCAGCGGAGAACAGCAGAGGCCATTAAACTGTCTACGAACGAGGATGCAGGGGATTTTTACAACGTCCGAGAGAGCCTACCTACTCTCCACGCGCGCTCCTATATTCTTCTTGCTCCTCTTCTTCTCCCGACTTCTCCTTTCTCTTTCCCTCTCTCTTTCTCTCCTTCTTCCGCTGGCTTCTTGTTTCTCGTAGGACCCACGGACTTTTTCTTCTACGCCCTTCTGATCTCCGCGGCGGCCCAGCAACGGCCCAGCAACGGCGTCGCCGGACCGGGGCCGAGTCGTCGCGGAAAGGAATTTTTAACGCGATCTTTCCGAATATTCGAAACGTGTCGAATACTGCCAAATATTCTCTCATTTATTATTCTCGAGTATCGATTTATTCTCGACGAGTTGCAAAGTGAGGAATTTAGGTTTCTTAAAAATGCACGAACATTACGAATGAAGTCGATAAAAATTTCAGACTCATCCCGAAACGCAGCTAAAAAGAATTATTACAGACTCGATAATAAAGAATACTCCGATGTTCATTTTTTCCAATGTAAATTAATCATAATCTCGATTTAATTTACCTTTCATCTTTTTTTAATTTTTAGAACTGAAAAAAAATGATAGAAAGCAAATTAAATCCAAATTGAAATTAATCTACATTGGATGTAAAGCTAGTTCTTGATATGTATCAATACTTCACACTTATTGTCTTCCATTTTCTTTCCCAAAGTATCTAAAAATTTGGTCACATATAAATCTAAAATACATTCTGCATAATAATTTTGATATCCAAACAAAATTATTTCAAAAAATTATTTTCAGATCTATGTCCGGCCAAATTTTTAGACCCTTCAGAAAAATCATGCCTTCCGTGCAAAGTTACGAATCTTGGATGACAATGTTATGCTCAACGAGATTAAGTCAACGACATTACTGCCTCCGAGAGCAGATTGCGAATACCGATTTGCTAATACCGATTTGCATCTCCGCAGGTGCCACCGGTTTGCCGCAGACTCCTCCGGACGAAGCCGCTGGACCAGGTACCCTAGGATTTCTGGATCGTCTGCGCGGATAGATCCGGGGGATGATAATTATCGGCTATACTTGATGACACTAACCCGTAGATCCGAACTTGTGGGCTTTTTTATATGCATACCGCAAGCTCCTATCTACCGGTACATGTAGTCAGGCCGGCGTTAAAACTTTTCAACGGATCCTCCTCTTCCCAATCCATCATTATCATCACCACCATCATCACTATCACCACCATCACCGTCACTACCGTCAACTACCACCACTACTACCACCACTATCACCATCACTACCACCACCACCACCACCACCATCACCACCAGCACCACCACCACCACCACCACCAATCGTTCCGTTCCCCCGAATGCTTACGGCACTTCCGGTTATCAGCGACAGACTTCTTGTCGAGTAATTTCCCCGCACGTGAAAAGGGCATCACGTTTTGCATCTGCCGACCGTTAAATCGCATGATCGACGTGCGTTCAAGTTAAAGAATACATCGTTTATAAGGAGATTAACTCCAAGTAGGAGTAAATGCACTGACGTTTGTGCGCCGATGAAGGATATATCCTTAATGTATGACACATTGTAAAGCGATATTCTTAGGTGGTCTTATTGTAAAAGAATAATCTAGAAAGTGAAGAATCTTCCGTACGGCACGTCAGTATAGTATAAAACTAAAAGAGAAAGATTGCGAGTTCATAATTCAGGACCAATATTCAGCACGCAGCGGCGTGATGTTGTACTCGACGTCGACGTATCGCATTAATTGTACGTTGTCAATGAATGTGAATCGCGAACGAATCGCGAGCGCGAGATTTGTCCGGTAAATTAACGTGGAGGGAGATGAGGCGAGACGACCCGTCGAGAGAGATCGGTCGGGAGAAGAACGGCAGACAGAGCGGCGGACGAGGGAGAGAGGAGAAGCCCCCGCGACGACGTCTGGGTGAGGTAGTAGGTTGTATAGTAGGGAATGGAAATTCGCGAGATACGAAGTCCACTGTACAACTTGCTAACTTTCCCGGTCGTCGGCGCTGCGACGATGCTGCGACGACGCTGCACAGAATCGCTCCCGAGGACTCGCGAAACTCGCCGCTGGCGGGAAGAATCTCTCTCTCCGCAAACGAGAGAACGGTCCTTTATTTTCCTTATGCGAATGTGTAAATCGCGACCAGGCCTTACGCCTTACGTGAATGCTCCGATGCGTACCTTGCGTGTGAGTACGTGTGTGATTTGTATACGTGTGTATATATATATATATATATATATGTGTAAGATACGTGTGGGCAGGAGAGGGAGGGGGAAGGGTAGCAAATATTCCGCTCTCTGTAAGACGCGAACGATTTTCTCGATTTACGAGAGAAGCCCTTTCGTCTTAGGATATACATCCACTTACATATTCAGAGTGTTCTAATTGCATAACGAGCACAAAAAGCATTTCTGTCTCTTCATTGGCACTTCCGCTTCTCGTTCTCCAAGTCGCGCGAGTCTCGTACAGTTAGTGATTTCGTTAGTGCGGAGACTTCGGCAGAACGCCCGACTTGTCGAAACACGACGGAACGGTTTCTCGGTCTCCACTTTGGAGTCTCCTCGCCGCGATTCCTTCGAGAGATTTTGGGATAATAATTTGCAACGAACTGTCCAGGACAGCCGTGAATTTGCATAAGATCCTCTTACAAAAGAGAAAGGGCGGAACGATCGTGGCGCGCGAGGGTGAGATGGAGGGAATGAGTGGTGTCGTGCGTGAAAAAGAGAGAAAAGAAAGGGCAATGGCGGGCGGGCTGATTGTAAAGCCTGCCGCGTCGCCGGTTCCCTGAGACCCTAACTTGTGACGTCGCGTCCGATATCTCACAGGCTAGATTCTCTGGTATTGGCGATGAGTGCTGCCTTTTGCCGATCAAAAGTCAGTCCTAGCAACAGAGATACAAACATCGACGCGTTCCGACAACTTGCCGCGCTGCATTCACGTATTCTGCGTATCTTTCTTTTTTTATTCTTTTGTTTTCTACATCCCAACATCGCCGTATGATCGAGAGACCAACGGTTGCTCTTCATTAAAGTGGCTTAAAGAAAACTCTTGCATTGATTTCTCATTTCTCTGTCAGCCCGAATTCTATTGGATTCGTTTATCTTACACAGCCGCGAGAATTTTAGAAAAGATGATAAATGGATTATTATAATTAGTATCTCTTGCTATCAAACGTCACAAAGAGAAATTCTTACATTTTGCTCATTAATATTAGCTAAACAATGTTTAAAAATAGAGAAACTGCTTTAATCGATTGAGAACTTTAATGGTTCCAAAAATCATTAATCATTAATGAAGAATTTCACCTTCTTACCTATATTAGACTAAAGAAATAAAAAATTATCTAAGTTTGCATGATTCTTTGCGTAATTTTGCAGGCAAACTTACGCAAAGAAAACTTATCAATTACATATCGTAGCTTCTTCCAAGACGCATTATTTATTCGAAAACTTTAGATTACAATATCATGTCTTTTACCAAAGCATATTTTATAAAATATTTTTATTTCTTTTTTCACTTTAGAATTTTACACATTTTCATTTTTAATAGAAAAATATATAAATATTCATGAAATATATCCCAATATATTCAACAATTTTGCATTATACAATTATTTATCTCTTATGTACAGACTCCTTAAATCGACAGCGATATCATAGCACGAGAACTATACATTGCTCTAAACTTTTGGTCAGCCAAAATGAAGTATTCTCTTAAAAAAAGGACAAGAAAATATGTACAATTCACGATTATGAAAATACGATTACGACAATTACGAAAAGTATTGGACATGCAAATATATAATAATAATATACATGGTCTCATATACATGGACATATTCAGAGTTTTTTGTCGACAGGGATTATCAATTTTATTAATATATAAATTTTTGTTAATGGATTGCTTTTTGGATATTTTAGAGCTTAGAATAGCTCCTTGTTTCTGATTTTGAATGAGAAAAATATTAAGTAAATCATAACTTTGACTTTTTTTTAATTTTGGAGTTTTGAACATTCCAAACCACCTCCCCGCCCATGGATACGCCCATGCTTATATAGAACAGACATTAAATAACTTTCAAATTTTTTTGAATATTATACTACATCTCTCGTATATGTATGCTAAAAAAGATGTGATAATAAACGAATTAGAATTTATATAAATTTCGGTAAAAATTTACAGAATTTATTAATATGAATTTCAGTAAATTCATATTATGATTTACTTACATGACTTTATATATCATCTACTCAATTCATTTAGAAAAAATACATGTGAGAGAAAACTTATCATAGCTGAAGAGATAATGCGGTATAATATTCAATCTGTAAAAGGCTACTTCAGAAGTGATTGTACCGTGATAAGAGATTTTATAATGTACACTAGTGCTATGTTGTAGAACTTTTTCCATATATACAATATTTCATATAGAAATAATCATGTTAAATAAAATAGTAATTACGTCAATGTGGCGAGACGCGATATTTATAATAAAAAGTAATTTATTAATGGAAGTAAGTCTAGAGATATGATTTCATCAGAAATATCTTCTTCCTTCTTCAACGAGTTTACTTAACTCTGCAGCTGAATAGCCCAACAATTGTTTTAAATCACAAACGAATTTATACACAAACCGTTTGCCATGAACTTTCGAAATCATGTCGCCGTCGTAATAATACCGAAGTGCTCTGCTCAGTTTCTCGTAATTCATTGACGGCTTATTTTTACGAGCTCCCCACAATTGTGCTACTGCCTCTGGCTGATTAAGTTTGAATTCCCCTTCGGTCCCTACCCACTGAATTGCATCTCTATACTCTTTGTCCGTTAATAACTCTAACAAAAATTGCCATAATTGTATCTGACCACTATTAACAGTACGACTAGAACTAGCAATAGTAATGGAAGTAGGATCGACATTCTCTAACGGCACATTTATCAAGCGAGCATTCTGTTGGTTTATCGTAGATTTTGGTTTTGTAATTTTCTGATTTCGTGTTTTGACGGACTTCTCTACAACGCCATCGTCGGTCGAATCCAGTGTATCTTTTTGTATAATAGCTGCAAACAAACAATAATAGGCAAATAAATAAAATCTAACAATGACAATTTGGATTTATTGAGAAAAATATTAAGCTGCGCGACAGTCATTATTGAAACCTACCAACAAATTTGCATTTTCTAAGAAGTTCGAAATGTGTCCAAAACACATCTCCTGGATCATGAGGCACTTTTGCATGAAACTCTTGCATTGTGAGGTTACATAATTGTGCTCCAGTTATATTCCAGTCAGCTAAGCGTAATGACACCAAGTTAAAATGTCTAACGGCCCATTGTAGCCAATGTTTCACGTGCGTTTCTGTCCAGTCTCTTGGATCAGTTGGTATTTTTAATCGCTCCTTTTTTTCCACAGAAAATATATATGTATTTTAAATGTATTTATAAAAATATATTTTTAGATAAATCATTTTAGATAAATCATAACGTTCCATTTTAGATAAACATAATTTTAAGAGAAAATTCATAGAGCATATAAAGATTAAAAAGTTTGTAACGAAAGTATAATCTATTCAATTTTAAAAAATTAACTATAAATTTTTTAAATTGCTAAATATTCATACAAAACGAAACATCTCATATGAATAAGTAAAATAAAACATGTTTCATGTTAATTTAAAAAATAAAATTTTAATTGATTAAGACAGTTGTTTCATGCATTTTAATTACCTGATCCCTTTTATATTGAGCATCTACTATCCATTTCATAACTTTTCGTTTATTTTCTTGTGCAGCAGGCAATGGTGCTGTATCGAAAGAAAAATATCAGTTAAAATAAAATCATTTTGATTAACGAGCAGCATTTTATATATACGTTTATACATACAACTATTTTCTTCAACTTCGATATATTCATCCGCTGGCTTAAGAACATCTATTATATTGATACGTTTTTGCATGGGATTTATTTCTACCTTGACCTGAACCAGTCCTTGTCCTTGGACACATTGATCAACTAAATTCTTGTGACTCTCCAACTACCGTAACATATAAATTTAGAGTTTGGAAAAAGATACAATAGAAAATACAATGCTATAATGCTTACCATCTGTGTGTTTTGCAACCAGAACGAGTAATTTTTTAAATCTACGCTAAACCTTTGCTCCAGAAGGCTTTTCAACGTGGACAACGGCTCCCTGATGTCCATAAGTTGCGTCAGGTCGTCATCTTCCCCCTTTAAAGAGTTCCCGAATGCGAAACTGGGCTCAACCTCCAGGTCGGAGCTTTCCTGCTGTAGCTGTGCCATGATCTCATCCTCGGTAGACGAAAACATTTCTGGTTCCATTTTTACCTGCCGTATCATAGCGTACTCGTCGTCGGTGTCAAAGCTGAACAATAAAATAAAAGGGAGATAAATACCTCGGGATGAAAAGACGGGCTCGTAGACTAGGTGAGGTTATATCTAACGGCGCGAAGGTATAAGCACTGCTGTTTTTAACCTTTTATCGGAATTTTTCTGACAATCCAGATCCATGTTTTTCAAACACGTGGACGACCTGCAATCTAAGCTGGCATGCCCGTCGACACTTCGAGAAAATAGTCCGCGTCAGCAAAACACTCTCCAAACGCTTTGATGCAACACCCCCAAGGATGAAGCATGGCATAAAAAAACGAAAGATTGTATCCCATGTATCGTGCTCTTTTTGGGCGCTTTCTGACAGGAACATTCTTAACCTCATACCCAGATTACAAATTAGAATTGAGAGTAGACTGGAATTGAACCAATCACAAGGAAGAAAACCAATTTAAAATTTAGTAAACTTTGTTCTAATTGGTTAAATTTTAATCTAACCTCAATTCTAATTCATATGCGCTTCAAACACAATATTATACAATTGGCTGTTTAATAGTGTATTTTCTAAAGCTCTATAGTTTCCCTAGTCAGGAGCCTATCATGTGACATTACGGGGATGCTGAACTCGTCTATTATCGACAAAATGCGACAATTTTTGTATTAATTTTATAGATTTTTTTTTAACATAATTTTTTTCAATTTTTAGAATTAGGCTTAAATATCTAATGTGATACAAAAAAATCAACGAGCTCATATTCGATCTGCTACATCACCAAAATTTATATCGACAGCCAATAATGTCGTTTACCGTAGTTCCAATTTTTCGAATTCTCTACTCCGTTATGATTTACAAAAAATTTACCCAATGCCGATGATTTTTAACAAGATATTATCGATAACGAAAACCTATGTCAAACTTACACGCTAGAGCTTTTACGAATTAATTCTTAATTCTGGATACGAAGCGCGAACTTGCTGTTTACTTCTCATTCGGTTCCCTTTAATTACGCGTAATTTTCTATATTTATCCGATTGTATTCGAATGTCGGCCGGTCCCACATCTTATTCCGCGCCACTGTGTCGAGCGCTGCGCGACGTTAACGACGATAACAACGACGATGCGAGGGTACGTGAGATGTGTAGCTGATAGGGCTCGTCTTTGCGATGCTCCTGTGTAATCAATCGACGTGAGTTTCTCACACTTTTCCACGGGCTTCCTCGTTGCCTCCTGGGTCATCTCTGGTGCGTTATCCCCTTGCGATTGCACGACGACCGTCGACTGGTCTGAATTCCGAAGGTATTCCAGGTGTCCTCGCAAACGACAGTTTGTCAGTTGTAACATGACTTCGATATTCATCGTTCGCAATTAGGAGTTGCCTCAACGTGTTGTTGCATTTGTTATTCTCTCGATAAGTGAAGTGTGAAGCTCTACGGATGTCGTGTTGATATGAAGTATATCATGGGCATTCTGGAGTCAACAGAACGTATTGATAGATCTTGATTGAAGAGCCACCGCTTATTCCGAATTATTTCTCATAACAAAAATCGAGTATTTTGCTTTGGTTTATTTTAGAATATTTTTTTGAAACACAAGTCGACACAAGTTTAGTTATATCATTTATTATCCTTGTTATTTATCAAATGCTAAACAAGAAAAAATAGCTGTTGGTGTTAATTTGTATTTATTGCCGGAAAATACTTCTAACAAGCTTAATATAAAGAAATCTGACATTAAAATTTAGGTATTGATTCAAACGCTTATTTTTTTATTTAATTTACTCTTTATCTTTTTCTGTAATTCTTAGAAATAAAAAAAGTAAAATTTAAGTAAGAGATTAAAATTAATCTGTATTGTTGAAACATTGATATTAAACTGTACAAATAACTTTTATAGAACAACTTTTACATCAAGTTTAACAGTTTAAGATTGCAAAAGATTAAGGAATATCGTATAAATTTGTAATAATCCTTCGTACATTATAATTTTCGTCAAAACAAAGAGATAAAATCTGTAGTTTATAAATGTTTTTTATTTGTAATAATCTTTAATATCAATAAAATCTGGAAATCGCAGAAAATTTTATTATAACATTTGAATAGACATTCTGTTTGACATAAAAACTGAATGTTTTGCTAAATCTAATCTTTCAAATTGGCAGCTTGTTTGCTGAAAGAATGGATTCTTCCGGAGGAGATAAAGAAGTCTGGGGGGACGAGAAGATTACAAAACAAGGTTTAGGACGTGGACGTTCTCAATTATATCCAGAGAAACTCAGACGACCACGTAATGCAACTGCTGGTCAATCCAGCACAGGTCAGTTTTAATTGTGAGCTAATCGACATACTATGATGAGCTGTCATATTATGATAAAACCTATTTTTTTTTTTTTTTTTTTTTTATTAAAGGTATCCAATTCTTCGACAACGACAACGACGATACTTGATCAAAAAGAAAAGAAATATGTGCTATCGCCACAGGCAGCAGAGTTTGTTCCGAGAGTCAGACTCTCACAGTCTTCTTTACCCCAGCCTCCCGTGAGTGATCAATGTTATTCTCTTTGCTATTTTTGCTAAACTTTCAAAAATATTGATGCTCAGTTGCATATATGTTGATTCTGAATAATTTACACTTACTAGTATCAAAAGACTTCTATACAAGATAGAATCAGATTAGCACGAGAAGCACCACCAAATGTACATATACCTCCAGAGAAAGAAGTTAGCGTTCTTGAAAATTCTTTTGAACAATGCAATATACAAGATGAGAATATAGGAAATTACAACAATCACGAAATTGGCCAATACGATGTGAGTATCAGTAAAAATTTAATCTTTTTTGTCACAGAAAGTTACATTACATGGAACATTTTAAAACCAATGATGTTCAAATTAGAATGAAGATAAACAACAGAACGAAGAAACTTGCAAAGAAACTTACCTCCTTAAAGAGGATCTTTATATCATTATTGATATTTTAATTGTAAATCCTGCCGAGTTTTCCAATCTAGTGCCACCATTCATAGACAGGATTATGTCGAGCGGGGACGTGTATTTTCTACAAATAGTTATGACAACAATAATCGAATGGGTATAAGTTTCTTTTTTATTTATAAATATCTACATACTATACATACTACAATTTTTCGCAGGGCTTACTTTTTTCTATATTATTTTTTATATTATGTTTTATATTATGTATTTCATTCTAAACCAAGATGTCTGCTTGAAAAAATTTGGAATTCTCGGAAAATTTGTTTATGTATCAGAGAATTTTCAGGATTTTTTTTTTAATTTGAGACACCCTGTAAATAATTCGCCCTGTAAATAATTACTTTAAATTATTTATTTTAAATGATTTTCAGTCCATAGCTGAAAGCAATTTTCGATATAATGGAGCTCGATTCTTTGAATATTGGGATACGAGTTTAGGAAATTCCAAGGAGTATCACAAATTTTCCAAAGAATTATTTAGGGACTCTTTGTGTTACCAGTAAGTCTGTATGCATGTAATTATTATTTGAAATCATATTGTTTATATATATATATTTACGATATTGTTGTGAACATTAGATGTAAATGGCAGACTGGAATTTTCATACCCGAATGGTTCAACCAACCCGAGGATCAACGAGATCAACGAAAGTGCAATGGATTGATATTGTTTTTAGCGGAGTTAGTCGCCCAAATGGACGAATCTTACGCTTTTATTTTAGGAGAAATCTTGATATCATTTATTACTAAGGTGTTACAAAGACCGGCGTCGAGCTCAGTCAAATACATATGCCAAGCACTTAAAGTAAGTCGCAAGTAATAGTAATGATGACTCTATAATTCTTATTCATTCTGTAATTCTGACATGTTTGATGTAATGCACAGTTAGCGGGCCACGTGTTGGAGAAAGATAAAAGCAGGAGTAAGGATATGGAAAATATGATGCGGGCGCTAACGGAATTAGTAAATAACGGACAAGTAGACACGCATGTAGGAAATATGGTGAATAGTGTCCATGAATTACGGAAAGATTGGGGAAACGCATCAAATTGTGATTTATCTAAATCGAACAATTCATTATTAAATGAGATACCGCGACAACCCGATCAATTGGGTGCATCTAATTATAATTCGCCCGAAATGAATAATGCACTATTGAAAGACGTTCAATATCCAGTATCGCAGCAAATATCGCTGAATCAACCGGTAATGTACGGTCCCGACGGCGAGATTCTTTCTGCGGAAGAAAGCGAATTCCTCCAGGAGCATGTAAAATCGGAAGATCAAGAGTATGTTATCGTTTTATATCTATTTTAAATAAGATAGACAATGCAAAGATGATTTCTTCATATAAAAATACTTTAGGAAATTTGGATACTAATAAATTATATAATGTTACAGGATATCGGAAGGAGAGGAAATCGAGGATGATAATTTCGATGATGAAATTGCGATTGCTTACGAAGAATTCTTAAAAGATAAGTGCTAATAAAATTCAAGATAGTGCACGTAGTCTCTTTCAGAAACAAGTACCATGGCACAAATATCTTGTTATAAATACAAGTAATATTTTAAAGGCTGTATGATTTTAAAAGACAGGTTTTAACTGCGATAACTTTAAAAATCAAATATGAGATATTTATATCACAAGAAAGGTAGGATAAAAATAAATTATTACATACCACGTCGATTCATGGAAAGGAATGCACCAAATATGAATAATTTAAAAAAATTTATAAAGATTCGCTATGTACAGAGATAATAGTCCTGTCAATATCTATGTATATGTAGCGTACAGAGTGGTCTACTTTGAATGAAGAACACCTGAAAAACTTCTCCATTAGATTGGAAGATGTATAGAGATATATGAAAATATATTAAGAAATATATTATGAAAATATATATATTAGAAAACATGAAAAAATATTAAAGATTAATAATTGGAAGATAATATGAAAATTCTTTCTCATGATATTTTCATAAATTTTTAGGACACATGTTTGCTTGATTTGATAAAATGTAATTATTTTATTTAATTTACATTAACGGCTACAACATTAAGTAAACTTGATTATTTTATATACGTTTATCTTTAAATCTAAAGGAGTCCTATTCGGGTGTTCTATTTCTAATAGACAACCCTGTATATAGATATATGTTCTGTATGTTAAATATATATGTATTTTTTGCATTTATTTAAAGTTATGTATGCATATGTATTTGTACTGAAATTTCTTAAATACATATATGACACGAGTTGTATATAATGGTTTTATATTTTTGAAAAGCGCATTACGCTAATTTCTCAATTCCACTTTCCATCTTTTTAACTATGGGTCTTGGATTCGATTATTATTTTAACTTTAATCGAGATTTACAAATTTGTATTAAATTGTACTAAAACAAAGCTAATATCTAAAATGCTTTAATTTGCGACTATCTTATTAAGATTAATGCAAATTAAAATACTTTAGATTTCATTTTTGCTTTGCATTTGCTTACAACAAATTTAAAATTTTGAGTCTCACTTAAAGCTAAAATATTGTTAATGTAACCGAACTCTAAAACTATCATTGGTACTTTACAAAATAAATAAATTTTATAAATAAAATCGATTCTTCGTTTGTAATTTTCAAAAGCGCTTCATAGACTAATTTCCGGAATAGATTTACTTGTATTAGACCGTTATTTTATATGGATGAGTATCAAACGAATCATCTTGGAATGAATCTACAAATATGCAGATAATTATGTACTTCGTCTCGAGATTGCGACATCGAATCGTGCATTTTATTTGACAATCGAATAGGAATGTAGATCTCCCGGGCGAGGTGCCACATTACCATATTTTATTCACCTCATTTCCATACACGGCATATTTTTTTCTTCTTTTTACTTTATCTACATTTTTGTTCTAGATTAGCATATTACGGTGTCTGTAAGAAGCGTGACGAAAGGAAGCCGTGTGATACGAGAACGACGAGGCCGATACCGGATTTACTTACTACTGCGCTGTAGCGGGATCGAGAACGCACGTCCGCGAAGATCCATTTTTGGCGCGAAAGGGTTTCCTTGTCGCGGAACTCCGCATACGAAGCTGCAACGTGATTAGTCATACCTGTTTTGACCGACTTGACTTGTATCGTACCGCACGCGAATACGGAATATCATTATAGTGCGCCGATTAATTTCAAGTCGGGATGGACGATAATTACGTGCGATCCCCCGATCGCTGCCCGCTGCCGCTCGCTCATGGGAAACCCGTTCGCGCTCATCACGTAATGCTCATCAATGACAAAAAAAAAAAGAAGCGGAAAAAAACGGAATTAAACGCGTTATAAATACGTAGGCGAAATTTATCGAATACCTTGAGAAATAATCAGGGCCGCGTGTGGGCGAAGTTCGAACGGGGAGATCCGAAGGTCGTGGATGGTGGGGCTGGGATCGTCCTCGCGTCATCTACGCGATCGTGAATAATCGGTTAGTCTTCCTTGCGCCGATCGAGCACCAAGTTGCAAACGTTGGTAGGCATTCGAACAAAAGTTTTTATTCAGTTCGTTATTCGGGTAAAACTTCATACGTTATTCATCCTTTCCTGTACATTACATTATTTGCACAATTAGCCGTTTGCCGTTGTTCTTTATTATTTTTTATTATTTGTATTACACAAATGGATATTTATATTTAGCAGATTCAAAGATTCGAGCAGAAACGTATTCGCAAACAAAGACAAAATGTGCGAATTATCTTTCTCTAATTGTCTAAAAAACTAAGATAATTTCTGGCTCCGAATGCAAGAAGAGGGGGGCGAATTAGTTTCGTTTTATAGTTACGATAAAAGAAAAGAAGTTTTATGTTTTTAACTTGAAGAAATTTGCGTAGCGCATCGCCTATCGCGTTCGCAGAGAAAAATCCTGGCTCTTTCAAGACAGCAGAATAGTGGCAAAATGCAGAATTCGCAAGCCGCAGTCTTGCTCCTGCTTCTGATTGCCGCAGTCGATGGCGGCCACTACGTCCAGTATGTCCAGTCGCGAATTGCGTCTGGTAAGTCCTGTTTGTCTGTATTGTTTTCGCAAAGCTGAAACGTGCCCGCTGAATCACCCATGATTTTCGTTTCTCCACAGGTAGTTGCGACAGCTACACGTGCGGCGTCAACGCGAGATGTACGATGAGCGAGGGACGGCCGGTGTGCTCGTGTTTGAATCTACATATGGGAGATCCTCTTGCGCGATGCGTGCGAGTCGAATGCCTAAGTGAGTAAAGCGATCCGCGGGAATTTACATAACTCTCTAAGAGTGAACTCTTGTTAATTCAGTCGAACGACAACTTAAATTTACATCAAATCAGCATGATGCTGCTTAACGTCCCGGTCGTGTTTCAGTCAACGATGACTGCCCGTACAACAGAGTATGCACGAATAACAGATGCATCGATCCTTGCGTGGGCCTATGTGGCGCGAACGCAAATTGCTTGACCAGGAATCACATAGGCACTTGCGAGTGTATACCCGGATACGTCGGGGATCCGTTCACGGGTTGTCAAATCGCCGATCCTCGTACGTATAGGTTTCAGTTTAATCTAGATAATACAAACGTCTGAAAGAGATGCCACGAGGATGGATTTAAGGATTTTTTTTCATATTATTTCACACATTTTTTAGTCATCCTTCGCATTAGATATTCATCTTTATCTCTCTTTCTTTCTCTTCTCAACACAATTAATGATTTCTCTTTTTCCGCGTTTTAACTATTGATTAAAACGATGTCATGAATTATTTATCAAAGACAAATTTTTTATGATATAGAAGCTGCCTGTAAGCCGAGTCCATGCGGACAGAATACTCAGTGCGAGGTGATCAACGAAGTGCCAGTCTGCACGTGTCTGCCGGGTTACAGAGGTTCACCCTTGACTGGGTGTCGTCACGAGTGCGAAAGCGACAGCGAGTGTCCTCAGCATCTCGCTTGTTCATCATCGTATAGATGCGAGAGCCCGTGTAAATGCGGCGAGAACGCGGAATGCCAAGTTATTCATCATCAAGCGAAATGCACCTGCCCAAAAGTAAGACGCCTCCGCTTTATCCATAAAGATTTAGATTGGCTTTTTTTTTATCGAACGATATATAAGTCTGACTAAGCGTCCCTCACGATATGAACGAAATGAAACGCGTGGGATCAATTTGTTTCTCGTTCTCCAGACATGGCTGGGAAATCCGCTTGTCTCATGTCGACCCGAGTGCACCGCCCACTCCGAGTGTTCGCCAAACAAGCCCGCCTGCCTTTACCAGAAATGCGTGAATCCGTGCGACGGCGTATGCGGCGTGCACGCCGATTGCAATCTACGCGGCATCACTCCCGTTTGCAGTTGCCCGAAACACATGACCGGTAATCCTTTCGTCAGCTGCAGACTGTTCGAGCCGCGTAAGTAATGAGTCACCTCAGTCTATGAGGTTAATCTGTTAGAATCGTAATCATCGAATATAAAAAGAAGGGGGGATGATCTTCTCAAAATCGCGTTTTTATTTTTAGGCGATCTCTGCGAGCCAAATCCTTGCGGTGCGAACGCGATTTGCACGCCAGGCCATGACAATACCGGGAAGGAGAGGCCAGTGTGCACGTGTCCCACCGGTTACATCGGTAACGCCTTGACGAGCTGCCAGCGCGGGGAGTGTTTCACCGATAGTGAATGCCCCGACAATCGAGCGTGCATTGATTTCACGTGTAGGAACCCGTGCACCGGTCGTGAGTGCGGTCCGAGTGCCGAGTGCACGCCGCGACGTCACATCGCGGTCTGTACGTGCCCACAGGGAACCAGAGGCGACGCCCTTTACACTTGTAATCCGATCGAAAGCAAATCGGTGTACAATTACGGCCGCGCCTACCGTTACCGCTACTACTAGTCACGCAAGACGGAACCGATCCCACGTTTAAAAATACTCAACGTTTTCAATCTCGCGTAATTTCCATTCCAATTTATTATTCATTCACCAATTCGAGAAGAAATAAATCGGGAATAGCAAAAAATTAACCGTCTACTCCGTACGCAGGTCGTGTAACAGAATAATATATTTTTTGTAATGCTATATATATATGCTGATAATATATCTTCCGATTCGTGTTCATGTGTTCATGTGTAGATCTCACGCACAGTGTTCTATGTATATTTTATAAGCAGCGGCTGGTCGCAAATCTAGTTTCGATTCTTAATAATAAAAATAAAAGCATAACGATTTATTTGCAGTTTATTAGGAACCTTCCACGATAAATTTTGTCCTGCCTTCCAAGTAGCGCAAATTTTACAATCATATAAAAAAGAATTGTAGGAAAGGGGGGAAGAAAACCTAGGACAACACGTTATAATATATTAAAAATCCGAATGCGTTGTCTAGTTGAACAATGATTTTTTATTAAATAATTTAATATTATTCACAACTCGTAAGGAGTGCAAGTGTAGTTCATAGTTATAAAACTAGTTGAGAAATTTACGAAAAATCACTTGCTTGCTATTAAAAAATAAATGATTACAATTTTCTCTTATATATTATGTATAATCAAGGAGACACAGTGGTGGCTTATTGCCAAATGTGTGCGCCTTACATGCAGCGAGACTGGATCGT